CTCCCGCAAGTATCACACGTCTGTAAGGAGACCATATCTCGCGGCCAAAGATCTTCATGGTGTGTAGTGATAACCGAAAATATATATATATCATAACCAGAGATAAATAAAACAATGGTAAGAAATTAGTATAGGATCAAATAACAAGATATAATATTTGCAATAGAAACGTTTTATTCTTCTTGGTCTTTCCTCTTGAATTGAAACATAGTTTATAAAAAAAAAAAATGGACCACACAATAGATAATAGCTCATTATTATTATATAGTTTCTGATATAATTTAATTCATATGTTTCATAAAACTCGTTATAATTTAGTTTTCGACCGTATTTTTCCATCTTTGTCTTTCTAACACGGCGTCGCGTTAAGATACAATTTTTAATAATAGCTCATTACAAAAAGAATGAAATGATGAATATTTCCTCTTCTAACAATATGCAAGTCCGGTTTTTAGTTTTTGAGATCTTTTAATCTATATGCCAAAACATTTAATTAGTCGACTCCAGCCGACTTGATCCAAGCGTTATACATCACAAATTTAATTCGCTCTAAAAAAAAAAAAATGAAAAACGCTCCTAAAGAAATTTTTTACTTCAATAAAATAAACGATTTTTTGAAGATATTTGAAATAAATTAATCATTAAGTAATATAGGTGAGGATATGTGCAATGTAGCATAATTACATTAAGTATAATCAATAACAAAAACAATTGGTGTAATGCTATTCATACATTATCGACATTGTTTAATTCGTAGAAGTCAATCCGGTCCATAAACTGCACCTCCTCCTGGTGTGATATCTACATTATTTGTTATGCGAGGAGGTCCCTCCCAGCTCCTCTCCAACCTTCTACGGACATTACTTGGTATATCTTCTTAATAAGTATGTAAGAATATCCTTGTAATCTGTCATTAAATCGGTTTTAATGGTTTAATATGTTCGTTAATATACTGTTCATATATGTTTACGTTGGTATGCAATGCTATATTGCTAACATACTTAACATACCTGTTTTTGTAACTGTCCTGATTGTTTTGTCTTGAAAAATTTGAAGTTTTCCAAGGTAAGTCTTTTTAGTGGTTACATATATTTGTGATGCATAAGTTCCTATAAACTTAGTGAAGTCTATTTGAACTTGCCCATCACAAATATATAAAATAAACCGCTTTCATGCCCCACTTTTAGGGTGCGAAACTGTTGTCGAGACTTTTAGTTTTTGATAAATAAGACAAGATAAATAAGTCGTATACAGGTTATTTAATTTTACACTAGAGGCCAGTACATGAATTCATAAATCCATCGTGTGCTGGAAATACACAGAATGAAAATGGATCATTCATCTCTACATAGAACAGTGATAGGTAGATGATACGGATATAGACACTTTTCTTACCATCCAATATCTTGGAATTCTGTCTGTACGAGTATTCTGTCTGTATTATGTATCTTATACCACTTATTCATCATTATTTCTCGAGTTACTTTTGTAGATGTTAGGTAGATATATAAAATATCGCTTGAGAAATGTATTGGAATCTATTCAGCAATATTTTTCTCTTCAGTTCCTTCTTTCCCTCATATTGACCATTGTTAAGATTAATTACTTGGATGCTTATTTTAGCAGGAAAGGTAAATAGAAGATAACAAAATAGAAGGCACGAGTAAACTGGGAAGGGCAGTATTAGGAGAGATGTTATGATAGCGAGGGCAAGCCCAACTTGTGATGACCCACAAGTTAGATGGGACGGAGTGACCCTGGCTCCCGAATTTGCAAATAAGACCTGGCTGACGAGGACTTTGCCATCCCAATGCAAATTCCCGTTGATGAATAATTTAAGTAGGCGGTGATTGGATTATAGATGGAAATGTTGGGAAAATATAGCAGCGCGCTCTACAGGTGGACCGATCAATACAATGTCAGTCCCCAGCTCGCCTTTCGCTCTCTGTCCCTCAAGCTCTCTTTTACAAAATATCAACATCGGGTCAACCTTCTTCTTTTCGGTTCTTCTCGAATGCCGTATTATATTACATTATAAATAGGATTTCCGAATAAGGATCAAAACAACTCGAACAGGCTTTATGTATTCTCAATTTTAATATCGCTACCGTCGTTTCCCGTTTTTAAGTAAATTGTACATACTATAACATCATCCAAGAATAATTATAAGTTATTGTTGCAAAATTATAAGTAACGTTATAAATGGAAAAATCCAAACAACAATGTCACGATTCTCCAACATACAAGTGAACTTACCAACGCTTCGCCGATTCACGCATCATCAGTGAAGAAAAACAAGATAAAATATATGCAGAAAGAAAAAACAATAAAGAAAAAAAATATTGCAGTAGATATCTCATGAAGCCATCAAAATACGCACTGTAATTGAAATTAAATATTTTTATTGAGAAAAAAAATACATTTTGCCTCAGTTAAGGCCATTGAGTATTTGTGATGTATGGAACACAATCATACCATTTCTACAATAAAAGAAAAACAAAATTATAACAAAAGAAAACTTGGAATAACAGAATGATTCAAATATGAGACATCATAAAAAAAAGAAGAAAAAAACACATTTTATTAAAAACACATTCCAAATACATAGTAAAGAAAAAAGAAGATTCTATTTACAAGTAAGGAAGATTATATTGAACTGCTAACTGGACGTAATACAACGGAAACAAATATAACTAAAATATAAAAAAAGGAAATGAAATAAAATAACAGTAAAAATAAAAGAAATTAAAAAGCTCAAGGGTATATACAATAACTAGTAATATTACTTGTGGAGTGGATATGCATCCACTGAGTTTCGTTACGAATGGATGTTATATATTCCTTTAAATTTTTCATTTGATTTTTTTTTTATTAATTTAATTTTTTTTAACAAGTTTTGTATTTTTATATTTTAGTTATATCTTATCGTTTTTCTTTTATTACGTTTAATCAGCTATTCAATAAAACCTTCATTAGTTTTTGTTAATAGAACCTGATTTTTCCTTTAGTATGTATTTCGATATACGGTATGAATGCAATCTCTGAACTCTATTATAAGTGTCCTTAACTGTGACAAATTGTAATATTTCTGAATAAAGTGTTTTAAATAATTAAAGTATGTATTTCGATGGCTTTTTGAGATGTCTCCTGAAATAATTTTTTTTTTCTGCATTTATGTTATCTTGGTTTTTCTGCCTTGATGATTCCTGAATTTGCGAAACGTTGGTAAGTTAACGATTCACTTATATGTGAATGTGAAGGATTTTTCCATTCATAACATAATTACCTTTTGTCTCTTCTAGTTTTATGTTTATTTTCAGCAATTATAAATAAACAATTGAGTTAAAGAAGATTAAAAAATTCATTATCCGAAGGCATATTCCTTTAATAAAAATGAATTAAAATCAAGTCCGAACATTAATAGAATGGTTTATTTTTTGCTTGATAAATGTAAACAGAAAGTAAGCCAGCCTTTGTAATAACGAAAAAAAAAAATGAACAGAAGACTAAATTCATGATCCTTCCAAATAGAAATCATATGAAACACGCTGAGAAACTACAGATGAAGCATATGTACTAACAATAAAATTAATTACAATATATTTATTCCATTTAAATTATGATAAAAAAACAACAAAAAAAAAACGATATGACGAGTCTTGGTCTTGCGCACTCAGTCTTGTTCGTGGTCCTGATCTTGCGCAAGAATCTCGCAACAGTCTTACGGTTACCTATTCGCTTATTACTTTATTGATATTACTGTGATTTTTTAGATCGGAGAAACCTAAGTAAGCCCGAATGGAAAATTAGAAGAGTTAAATGGAAAAAGTATGTTGGTTATACCAATTCTTGACATATTGTAACTAAAATTGTATTAGTAACTATTTTGCCCTAATTGTTATTCAAAAAATCAATATATTTTTACCAGTTTTGGTCTTGCATCACATAGGCGATCTTGGTCTTGGTCTCGCAAAGTTCAAGACCAAAACCGATTTTGGGCAACACTTCTAAAAACTTATGTAACATTATAATTTATTTTACTTTTTAAAGATTCCATAAATCTGCTCTATTGTTATTGTCTACCTTATTAAAATTAAAAACAGCAAATATTTCAAGTAATTTATACATTAAGTGATTAATCTATAATACTTTTTCTAATTTATACAGTTATTTGGACTAGGTAACGTTTCCTAATCAATTTTAAAAAATGATTATATCATAGCCTAAACAATTACCATATTTTTACTTATATTAGGATTAATGTACGTCATATGTTTTTAGTAGCAGTATTATTCAATGTGTTGATATGTGCGTGTGTTAAAAATAAAAGTGTATAAATTTCAACTTATTCTATTTCTAAGAATAACAGATATTCCCATCATTTTCCAACACACTCAAGTCACAACACACTTTAGTCCTAAAGTTTAGAGTTAGTATGCTAAATATTTATATGTGCGAATGTAATACTAAGTTTAACATTATGACTCTTGTTATATATCTATCATTATAGTAAATTTTAATTAAAGCGATAAATAAACAGAAAGGGGAGGTTCTCATTTTTTGTATCCATTCTTAGAAAGTTATTATTGTAATTTTACTTATTTTCTTTTAGAGCGAGGATCATTACAAATATATGATATTAAATGAAATGGCCTGTTATGGTTCGATTTCAAACATGATCCTGAACCTAATTTAAAATGTTATTTTTTCATTCGACGTTCTTCAAGTCTTTAAATGGAGTTTTCAATAAGAACCACCATTCTTGGGCTACAAATTAATAAATAAAAAAAGTCCTAATTCCGCTTTTAATTGATCACCATTTTGCATTATGATATATTCAAACCGACAAATTTTTATTTTTACCTCTTATTCAAGAACGTAATGTTAATACGTAATAAGAAAAAACATAATAATAAAAACAAATGTACAACAAAAACAAAATAAAAAATCCATTCTAAATTTTTTTTAAAATATTAAATAAAAAAGTTTTCATTACTTACAATTGGGATCCTCTTCTCCTCTGTCTCCTGTCTTCCTCAACACAAAGAGCTGAAGCGTTTTCTGGTGAGAGAGGGGAACTTCCTGCTAGAAATACAAATTTTTTTCCATTACACTAATTAGACCTAGAGCTTCGATAAATAATTTCAGTGATGCCAAATATTGTATAATCTATCTTTTTTTTTACAATTTACAAAAAAAAGGGGAAAAAAGAAGCTAATGTTATTTCTGTTATCCGGTGCTAAAATGTTGTGAATCAGAATTAATTTCATAATGATATACCTATATCATAGAAGTATGTTATATACTCCTATGATATATATACCAAGAAGTATATACCTATGTACCTATGGAATTATTTTACCATATGATGTACGAACATAACTCAAAGTTTTCGGTTAAAATTCTTTTCCAATCAAGAATAGGCAAATCTATGATTCTTCTATTAATTTTTTAAAAACTTTTTTATAAGATCTTTTTATTGAGAAATAATACATTTTGCCACACTTAAGGGTACTGAGTTCTAGAGTTGAGTGAGGCTTATTACAAAGAATATACATGCGAAACTGATTTTTATTTATTTATATATTATTTTGTTTAGCTGAGTACGTATATAGTTCATATCCAGCTATAATCAGCTAATTACGAACTGAGAATAAATAAAAACTACAGAAGGATCGGACAGTACTTACTGTTCCCATCGTCAGGTTCTTGCTGCGGAGGAGCTCTGAAGGAAGACCTCCTGGCTGGGGAAACGGTTGTAGGGAGAGGTGCATAGACATCGTAAGCTGAAGCCCTCCGTGGTAGTGAAGCAGGAAGACCTGTCAGGGAGGATCAGTCTTTAATGATATTTCTCACCCCTCAGGGAGTCCTTAATCCTTAGAGTATGCGGTTCCGAGCTACGGGTCCTTAATGATAAACAAGCATGGTATGCGGTCTGCACAGCCCCTCACTAAGCGTTCTAGGGCTCCTTGTTAGCTAGAGGTCGGGTCAGGGCAAATGGATCTGTATCGTTTGCCGCTGAGGCCATTTTAGGAATTTGAACTTTCTCCTCAAATAATAAATTGTATGTAAAGTAAATAGAATTCTATTCAACCAGATAATCATTTTTAATACCAAAACCTCAAATCAGGTACAAATAGATAATACTTAAAAAAACTACATGTTGTACGAGTTTTCATAGTATTTTCAAGTAATGATTAAGAAATAAATTTATCCAAAGTAAATAAAGTGAAATTTACACGATATGAAAGGAAACGAGGAGAAAAAAAAAATACAGTTCCTTTTCCTAAGAATTTTTTTAAATATTAACAATAAAAAATGGGAAAATACTACATGTCCAAATTTAAAAATAACACACCGAAATAATTCAATTGTTTTTTACATATAAGATGCTCAGAAATCACGAATAAACTTAAGAACATTTTCACTATTTGAATGACAGAAAAAATCCAACTATATTAGATTTTATTTGCCGAAAATTAAATTTTAAGTATTTTCCTCCCCGTAATGGAATTTAAAGTATATTTCAAGAAAACATTTTGTTTTTTTCTAAAGTACGAATTTCAAATTTCAAACATATTTATTTAACTATATTTAGATGTTGACTGTAAAAACGTTATAGAATAATTCAGAAAAATAATTAATTGTAAAATATGAAGACATTAACTAAATCAAATTTGGTAACAAAGATTTCGAATGAACGGATCTCTATAAAAATAAAAAAAAAGTTCTAGTCTAAGCGAAATATCAATTTTCTTCTATCTTTGTTGTTATATCAAACGTAACGCAAAGGGGATTTCGTGAAAGGGAAAGAATAGAATAAACAAAAGAAGCGGGATAACTGAGTGGAGTAAGTCAATAGATGTAGAACCAAAACACAACATTAAAGTTAATATATTTCTTTGCTGAGAGCAGAATAATGTTGTCTTAACGTATTATCTGCTGTCCTCTCATGGAGCTGTTCATTCCAAAAAAACAACAACTAGACAGATAAACAACAAACATCTCTTCTGTTCCTACCTGCTGTTTGTTCTTTAATCAATTCCTCCTCGATGGATACTGGAAATACAGGTGCCATTTAAAACATTGAAATTATATCATATTGTTTTTCAAAGCAGTAATGAAGAGAAAAAACCTGTAATTAATTATTAGTTACAATTTATTTGAATTCAATAATAAAATAAGTAAATCAACAACTATTTCAATCAAATTTTCTGTTTTTTTTTAAATATTTTTTATTAGGGAATAAGATTTTTTTTTCATAGCCGATTGTGTTGTGATGCTAAATGTTGAAATTGTCGTCATTGAAAATTCTAATCATTATTAGCTTCCTTCTCTATAAAGTGCTCATCGATGAAATTCTCAAGAAATGTATAGGTAGATCAGCAAGAATTCGAAAGATAGAAATTTGGAATTTCTGAATAATACTGTCACAGAAATTATTGTCATATTATGCACATGATATACTTCCAATAACAAGCATTTTTAGTAACAATTTAAGACTTAATGAAGGAACCTGAAAAAATCAGTTTTGACAATTTTTCGGTAAGACCATCTTGGTTTGCTGAAGAGAAATAAGGAGAGAGGAAAATAAGAGAAAAATAACTTTTGTTCTCGTTATTTTTTTAGCTGTTATCAGCTCCTCTCCAAATATATAGAGATATACAAAAGGATAAATTTTTATTTGAGGAATACTTTGAAAATTATATATAAATATACACCAAAACATCAACTGTAAGCAAACGGACACGAAATGTTTCAATAAATTCAGTCAATTTATATTTTACTTACTGCCGACAGGCGTACCGTTACTAATTGTAAATAAATGTAAGAAATACTTACCCAGGCCGGGTTCTGCAGCCGGCGCTGGAGTCGGTTTGGTCTCTTCGTCGTAGCTGTGCTGCTTCTGGACCCTCGACTTCCTTCTTCTAGAGGCCTGGGACCTCCTCCAGACATCGTCTTGTTCTACTTCTCCCAGTTGCGGAGGTTCCTCTGTTAAAGTAAATACGATAGTTTAAAAATATCATGAGAATATTATGTAATTACATATCATTACATATGAATTTTCATAAAAACTAATTTTTTTTGGAATTGAAAATAAATATATACAAATTGAAGACTGCAATTTTTCAACAAGTACAATACTATATTTGATAAATTAGAATTTTCGAAAAAATGACCACGTTGTTCTTTTAATTTCAATTATGTGATAACGGTGTAACTCATCTTACAAATTGATCATTGGTGACGAGACAATAATGTTCGCCTGGAAGTAACGTAAGTTGGTAATCATACTAATATATACATAACTACCTTGCAAATTCCATTAATACTATTGGCTCAATACTCAAGAAGTTATTTAAGCATTATTTTTTAAGATAGTGAACATTTATAAATATTTTTTCATTTTTGGATCACTGAAATCCAGTGGGTTACATTGGAAACGAAAAAAAAAATGCCTTTGAAATTAGAAAACTCACGTTTGAAATCGAAAGGATTTCAGTAAGCTTGGAAATGGTATATGACAATTTTTAACTGTTTTCTACTTTTATTATATTTTTTACTTATCTGTGTTGTCCAAAAGTTGTCCATCAACAGCCCGACAACCTGAAAACCGAAATTACGGATGATAAAATAGCTACGAGTTCGCGTTTCGATAGCGAGGGGGTTTTTAACTCTGGAATTAATCCCCCGCCCTTATCCCTTGGTCCAGGAAAACACTGTATAGCCTAAAAGATGGGGAGAGGAGAACAACAAAAGAAAAAAAATTGACAATCAATATTTCGACAGCTAAGTTGCAAAAGCCTGTAAGAACAATTTATTGGTCCTGTAGTTAAGTCCTACGGTCTGCGTTGTTGTGAAAGGTTTCAGGCTTTATAAAATTTACGTTACTTGGCGGAAGACAACGCAGCTATAACATCATTCTATCCGGATAACCTAAAGTATTTTAGGTTGATAAAAATTTAAAAGATTTACACCCTCTTATCTCTAAAATATTTAAATGCATTTGTATAAAGTATAAAGACTTGCTAATTCTGCAATCGTTAATTGTAACTAACTAAACTAGCTGGATAATTCTTGAGAAAATAAAAAATAAATATATTTTATTTACGTTAGAATGTAAAATTTTAAAACTATCTAAATTGATTTTTCAATGTTGTTTTATTTTCCAATAATTCGCATTGATTCATTTGGCTTATTAGCGTCACTGTATCATTCAAAACAGAGTTTTTAACCAACAATATTTAAAAAAAAAAACTAAATGAATAGACAAATTTAATAATACAAACCTCAAAAAGATAAATTTAGTATTGAACGCGGTGGCACGTATTTTGTTTATGTCGGCATACTGTATTCATATTGAAATTAATTCAATTTCGAATATCTATTATCTTTTTTTTTTTAAATTTTACAATGAATAGGGAAGAAGCAATTAATATTAATAAATCGCCATTAGTCAGCTTCTTGATTATAAATATTAATAGAGAGAGAAAGTTCCAGAGGTAAAGTGTTTGAATAAACTTGCAAATCAGTCAATCTCTTCATTCATTTATTATCTTTGCATTCATTTTCCATATCCGTTTTTAACTTTTGATGGAATAAATAAATGTATGCATGGTTGAATATGAAGTTACCTAGGCCATGCTAGGAGGGTTTGAAAAGTCGAGTGGCTTATGTAAATACAGACTGATCATAAGCAGACGATTCTGAAGGTAGTGGAATAAAGGACCGATATTAAAAAGGAAGAAATTTATAATGGACGGGCCACTCTTCCCCAATAGCTTCATTTAAATTTATAAAAAGAGAAGTAATTATCTAATACCTCATATATCACAGGCAGCGATAATAGAGGCAGCCAAGTGAAATGGAGGGTAGAATCGATTCGAATTTAAATTTGAATATAAAGGAGGCAGGAAGTTTTTCTTTCCTCATCGCCCTTCGGTTTTAGTTCCCTAGCGTTGAGAATTATATACCGTTTTTTTTTATAAGCGAAGTTGAAATTTCGGTATCCAATAAAAAATCTTTAGATTTACGAAGGGTGCGATTTTTGATTTCAGTACAGCTCGTAAAAAAAAAAATACATTTTTATTTTTTATTCTTTTACGCCATTTTCAATTACGCATCTAGCAAATCTGATGTTAATGTTCAGCTACTTCGATTTTGCTTGATGATGGTCCTTATTTAATTTTTTATTATTTAAAAAGCATCAGATCTCCGGACCATTTTCTTTTTAATCTTAATAAACCAGATAACAAGGAGGAGAAGACTTCAGATAAGGAAATATCTACCTTGAATATGCGTTGCTAGCCAGTGTTATGCATTTAAAATAATCAGTAGAAGATCCGCTTATTGCTTATATATATTATTAATAGCATGGAACTACAATACGACAATAATGACTTGCGGCTGACCTGTCTTGGTTATCTGGGGCTGCTGCTGTGGGGGGACGAACGCTCTCCTCTCGACAGACGGGGAAGTTGCCCTGCTGCCCTGCGGCGATCCCCTGCCTTTGGAGCGCCACTCCCTCTCGCTGGCCACCTTCAGCACTGCCTGCTCACACACACATCTCCACAATAAAATACATAATATATAGTATAATCTTCATAATATATAATTCATATAATAATAAATAAAAAAATAAATCACTCCATCTGTAGGTCTTTTTGCTTGTATATGTATATATAAAATTGTATATATGTATGTATAAAAAAATATTATACTGTAATTTAAAAAACGGTATATTTATATGGCATTTTAGTATTAACCTGTTCTTTTTAGAATCATACGAGGTTTGATTGTTGAATAACGAGACGGATACGGTTAGGCTAATATTTACTTATTATAACTTTCAATATATACTCTGCCTTCATCCCTATGATAAGGCTCCGTGCGAATCTTTAATTGTCTGAATCAGAGTCTCTTTTACAACTTCAATTCACTCAAATCTTATCCCTTTTATTGCAGATTGACGATTAAGATCCTTAGAATAAGCGCCAATCCCTACACTGGAAGAGGCCGACTTAACCGAAAGCCAGTTGGAATAAGAAAATAAAAAAAAAATATTTTTTTTTTCATATTCATTAGATTTTGAACTTTCACTGGGTACAAAATATTAATTATTAACTATTAAAGTTACTACATACTACATTCTGGCTGAAAGAAAAAACGGCTAGCGTCCTGAAGAAGACTTCCAGTACTGTTAAAGACAATGGAAGATCCGTATGGAGCGTTGTAGGAATAGAGGAGGAGTGTATTGAAGGTGATAATGAGTAAATATATATGAAATCAAAATAAAATATTTCCCCTCAGTTTCGTTATTTAGTAGCCGATCCTCGTAAATCGGAATAAAAGATCTAATGGAGAAAAGAAAGTTTATGTTTTTCGATATTTTCTTTACAGTACCAGTACTATTGATTGAACTGAATTTTTTTTCTTTAGTTACTTTTTAGCAACCATAAAGACTAACAACGATCGAAACGTAATAATACAGTAGTAAAAAGTAATGTGTTTTACTTATACTGTTATAATTATAATATTCAATCATTTGCTATATAGAAATAATCATTCATAAACATTAATTTTTGCTTTTTTTTTTTTTAAATTTGTAATGGATGATTGTCCACCTTAGATGGATTTCTATTGTCTTTCTAATTTGTGTAAAACTTACACAAGAGGTAGAATACCTAATAAGAGCAGCATAGCATAGCATAGCTTCAGAAACATATGAATACGGTGGAAATATTTATTTTGGAGCTCCGCATGAGCTGTACAAGCACCGTAAGGGTGTTTTTATGCGATTTTAAAGCAACTCCAACGTAAAACCTCCCACAGTTTTTCCTTGTTTGTTTTCAAAGCGATGCTCTTTCAGAGACTCGCAGCTTTATCGAATATACTCAGGAAAATTTCTTATCAGTTTTATAAATTTGTATAGACTTTCTTCATCGTCTAATTTTCTTCTCTTTTCTTTCTTTTTTTACTGATATATTGTATTTATCGAATTATTAAAATTTGTAAATGGTTTGAAATAGCTGTATAGATATTATTTGATGGCTAGATGTCAATTAAGGATGTTGATGATCATTATATCCAAAAGGCAGGCAAAGAAAAACCCGTCAACGTTTCGTCAATTCAGGTATTATAAAGACAGAAAAAACAGCTAAATGAACAACATGAAATGCAATCGCTTTTTTAAAGAAAATTAAGACAACATAGCAAGGGAATGTTGCAATCAAACAGTTGATATTTAGTAAAAAATCATAAATATTTATATATAAAAATAAAATTAATATTTTTAAAATAAATGCAAAAATAAGGCATTAGTGTACAGTAGCAAGACCTATAATATTATATAGTATGGAAACAGTCAGCTTTCCGAGCCTAGAGAAAATCCTGAAGATTGAAAGAAAGATTCTGAGGAGGATTCACGGACCTAAGGTAACGCAAGAAAGATACAGCCTAAAATCCAATAAAGAAATATACAGAAATTTGGAAGATTTGGAAACAGTGGTCAGGGCTAGAAGATTGAGGTTCTGCGGGCACATGGTCAGGATGAATAGGGAAAGACTGAACAAGAAAATTGTTGACAAAGTTTGCAGCTATAAAAGTATGGGGGATATGTAAAACAAATAAAAGAGGAACTAGACAGGCTAAAAATCACGGATAAATATTGCTTGGATAGAGAGCTTTTCAGGGAAAAACTGAAAGGTGTTGGGGTTCTTGTAGGTAGGAGGGAGAGATGAGGGAGAAAATGGACTAAGGAAGGGCGAGAGTTTCAGTCCAGGAGGATCAGAGAGTATTGGAGTAAGAGGAAGGCTGAGGGTGTGAAGAGGAAACGGAAATGATATTCGCGTGTTCCTTGCTGGCCGGTTCTTGTAAAAAAATAAATATTAGTAAATAAATAATGATAATAAAAAAAATGAAGTGAAAAGATATAATAATCCGAGTGCTACAGGAAGAAAAGAATAGTTCAAAGAGAAAGAGATTGAGGCTATGAATATTGCAGAGAACCTGGATAATGCTGTGAATTACAGAACTGGCAGCAAAAACTTGAATAACTTTTATTCTTAAACGTTATCTTATACAGGACTAAAATACTAAGCTTTATTCACATATTTTATCTGCATCTACGTGGTCAGCGGTTTCTGAAGAAAACCTCCTTTGGCGTTGCTTCTTTGTATATGTATAATTAGTAATTGCATTTTTTCTCATTATTATATTTTTTACTTCGTTAATTATTTTTTAATTTTTTATAAATTATTTTATTTATTTAATTTTATACACATATTTACGATTTTTTAAATTTAATATTGCATAAGTTTTTTTTTTTTAGTCGTTTGTTTTCCTTATTAACTGTTTGATGGTAACGATACCTTGTTCTGTTGTCTTACCTTTATTTCAATATGCGTTTGGATTTCATGGAGTGATTTTCGCTGAGCTGTTTTTTTCTGTCCTGATGATGCCTGATTTGGCGAAACGTTGACGGGTTTTCCTTTGCCTCCATTTTGAAGACTTAGTATGGTTTGGAATTTTTCCAATTAAAATCTAACAACTATGTTCTATCTCTTATATATTCTATCTGTTAGTTATTTTGTTACTAATTTATAACTGTAAATTTTAATATTACGGAAAATGAAAAATATAATAGGTTGAACGTGAAGTGCACTTCTCTATAATTTTCATAAAGGAAACTATATTGGTATTTCTTTTGCAATGACAATACACTTGAATATTTAATAAATTTAAGGTCCCAAGATTTAAAATTAATAAAAAGTTAGTAAGAAGTAATGAAATTGAATATATATATTTAATTTTCATTTTAACCTAGTGAAAGAATATAGTTTGATATATCTCCCCCAGTTTTAACAAAATGTAAAATTTAAATCAAACTGATTTTAAACCAGCGTTAAAAGGCAGCTCATGATTTCAAAACATAACAACGCCCATATTATGACATAAGGAAGCACATTCATAAAAAAAAAAAAAGTATCAGATCAAATATAACTATTTGTGTTTAATAAACTGGTATTGAGCAAGTGAAAAAAAAATCCTAATGTTCTTGTTATCGAGACATTGTCAATCGAAAATATTTCACCTCCATTCATAAACATATTTAGGATTGATGGAAGCTATTGGTTGGTCCGCATTCATTTTTGATAGTATCGGTCATTTTTAGTCGATATAACAATAGAAATATAAATGTTCGTTTTACTTATTCTGAAGATAGTTATTTTATATATGTACTTATTTCAACCAATCATGTTCTAGAGAGTTTTCTTGTATAAAAAAATAATCAAAACTAGAAATAAACGGACTAGATCATCAAATTCTTCATTTAATAATTTTCTATATTGTTAAGCAGTTATGTATAATAAAATTTAAAAAATAGTGATTTTTATTTATATTTTTTTTAGTTTGTTTTTATATATTTGTACTTTTTAATTGAGCAAGGTAGTTATCAAATGTAATACTTGAAAACAAAATGTCAAGTGTGCATATGTCATCTAAATCATTCGTGTTATCGACAAAAGCAACATGTATACTAAGTGTAAAGTAAACAATTCTACTTTTACAACTAAGCTATGCTACAGTGTAGGTTTACATCAAATTATTAATAATACTCTCACTATTTTTAAACGAGTTTTTCTTCTTTTACTTTAAAAAAATATCTAAAACCTTGTTGTTTATTGATATAAATTTAAAATGTTTTAATAGTAATGAGAATTTTTTTAGTTAAAGTTATGCACATGAGAATATAACATACATCATTTGTTTTTCATTTGTGGTTTTTTTTGTGAAAAAAAGTGGTTTGGGGGAATTTCTACATATTCTACTCATTCCGGACAGACACAACTATTTAATTTGCGGTTATGTCCAGGCAATATTTTAGAAGAAAAATATTTACAACTGAATCGCCAATTACATATTAATTATAAAATAAACAAGTTGTAATATGTACATTATGTACAACAGAATCTATATAGCAGATATTCAGAGAGCTAATGTCTACTTACTAATGCAAACACTAACCAAGTTGTACAATTGTGTGTGTATTCATGTCTAGAGTAGAACGGAAACATGCTACGGACCAGATGAAGAAAAGAATATTCAAATCATTGAATAGAAGGTAATTGCAGTTTTTCGTAGTCAGTCAGATGTTGACGATTCCAGCAGCTTTAATGTTGAATTCTGAGATTAGGGGTGGTTCATCTATTTCTTGGGCTAACTCGGTAAAGCTTGGTGTATGCAGCTTATGTCTTATTATTGCTTCAAGTTTTGTTGTCTACGCAGATTTTCAAGAGCCTTCTTCCAAAATTGCAGGTGGAATGTGCAGTAAGGTTCAATTTAGCTTGGGTGAAACATAACAACAGAAATCCGTAGCGTAGGATTTTTATTTAATAATGTCAAGTCATTCGTCAAGGAGCCTATGTCCTTTCTAGTCCACAAATATTGTCCATAATTTTGTTTTGTGCATTCTCTAGAAGGAAGAGACGGTCAGTGCTGAGAGCTCTACAAGGAACACGTTTGGTGCCAACCTATATCCAGCCTTATTTACATATTTACATGTTACTCACCGTGTCTTTTTCACCGGTAGATCTTTTCCGTATCAATACCTCCTCGTTCAGGGGAGAGTTCCCCAAGTGGTCAGAAAGTTCTGCGTTACTAAACCTCGAATAAGTTGGAGGCGAAGGGGTCATGTCTTCGTTTGAAAGCTCCTCATCGTGCTCATAGATTTGGTCCGGCCAGGTTTGCTTAAAATATTATAAGTATTCATTATTGCATAATTTTTAAAAATACATACCTTTTTCTATTTATTCGCACCTGGAAAAAAAATGTTAGGATAATTAAATTTTCTGTCATGATATTCATTACAAAATTGAATCTAGCTGATCTAATATACCGTCGCACTCCTACTTTTCAGTCCTTGCACCAGGAATCCAAATTTGTATTATAAGTTCTATTTTATCACACTCATCTCTCTATTATATAAATACGTTTTTAGTGGCCGTGTGATATTTTATTTTACATATAAGGTAGAATACCCGTGGAGCACCGCATCCGTGCGGATTTGCGGATACTTTGTCCCAATCCCATCACCCAGATAAGATTTTTTCTAACTGTTCAGGATGCATGTTTTCAATTATTCGATTTTCCAACAATTTCGATCTAACTTACATACACCTTTTTCATTTGTATAATTTGTAAAATAGAGGTTGGTCCTACATTAGGTGGACAGGGGTACTCCCCTAGTCTTGTTAAGTTTAAGGTAGTTATGTTGCTTATATGAATGTAATATACATTTGTTTTTTGTTTTTTCGAAATGTAGTTGTTTGTGCGAAATGAGTTTTAACATTTGAGATTAAATATGATTTAATTCAAAGCAAACTTTGTAATTGTATAGTTACTTTAATAAATATTACATTTTGTCTTTGGTTTAACATTTAATCTGACTAATTAATTTAATTGGCTTAAGCTATCTATGGTCAGTGAATATTTAAATTATTATATTAAATTGATTGGTTATTAAAATAAAATATATTCATCTATATAACTGTTTTGTAAAAATAGTAGTGCAAATGGTTTCTTAGAAACAACATGTGAAGAATATCTTTATTATTATTTATCTGTATTAAATAGCTTTACTTTTTAGCCACTTTGCACCACTATCAAGAAAGATTTAATTCAAAAGATTTTTTATCGACTAATAAGAAACCTATTGGCAAATTAACTAAGTTGAAATAACTGGTTTTTTCCTTACAGTTTTTAAACTTTTATAATAGTACAATATTTTTTCTGAACATTTTTTATAAAACAATAATGATTAAATAAGTAGGCAAAGGCAAAACAGTTCGTCCCTTCTTCTACCGATTTTAACTTTTCTTGTATTGTTTAATAGCTATTTGCTAGCATTAATGTTATAACTAAAAATTGGAAACAGTGTTTTAAATAAAAATGTAAATGCTAGTTTGTTCAAAACCGCTAATCTCTGAATGTTCTACACCGATTGTTTTGAAATTTTGATACAACGTTGTGAAAAATTTAGCTGTGTTTTTGTATACATTTCATTACCTATAGACTATTACTTCAAAACGACTGTAACGATTTTAATGAGACTTGGCTGAAGTATTCTGCTTAAAGTTCTTTTAAGTTATGCATGGAACATATTTCCTTGGAAAGAGGTAGAAAAAGTAACGACGGATTCATAAGTTTATTCTCGAATGACTCAAAAGTACACAATTTTCAGTTCATTAAACCTATGAGTAATTCAAAGCTTCCTGGATTCATTACGAAATGAACAAAAAATCATCGAAATCGAAAAGAATCATGTTTGGTAAGATTTATGAATTATATTTCTCAAGCTTATATCAAAAACTTTCAAGATAACTAAACCTCCATGGTACGTTAGCAACATTACATTACATAAAGACATACATATGCCAACAGTTAACGACCATATACCAACACACTACAAAGGCCACAACCAACGAACCCTATGGCACTAATAGGAGGCTCAATAGAAGCTGGATGAGGGATCTCTTCCACAAACGATAAATATTAAATCAAGATAGGAAGAGAGGCCGCGGGGCACTTCCATCCCTCACGCCCACCAAAGTCTTATTCCTTACTCTTCTTTGCGACAGCACACTCGCTGGTTGTTGGCACTCCTAACAGGTGTGAGTTGAAAAATAAGGTTTGAAAAAAGTTTTGAAATGTTGATACATTTGTTGGAGCTTAAATTTTAATTCATTTTATTAGGTAAGGTAATGGGCAATCTTCAGTGTATATATATATATATATAATATTTCTGAATTTCAAATCAGTATATATATGTGTGTGTATTATATACAAATAAATATTTATAAAAATAGATAAATTATATATATTATTACATAGTATATAATTGTATATGAAAATGATCACATGATGACAGTCGTATTTACAAACCCGGCGCATGGCTTCTATTCCGCAGTATTATGCAGCTTTGTTGGTTTGCCTATCCATTCCCTAAGAGGTTCCAACTTGTGGCACTCAACCTATATTTTTTATTAACTTATTCCTAACAGGTGTGAGATGAAAAATAAAGGTAAAAATTTATTTTTTGCAAGAGCTCTATTGTGGCTAATTTATGTTTGAGATATACATATAATATAAGTACAATATTGAAATGGAACAATTTGAAGTGACCGAAGGTAGTTTCTAATATTTTTATAAGAAGAAACCAAATTGAGATTGGTATTTTGCACCTGGGAAAACACTAAAATACGAATTTTCATAGCAACAGAAAAATAAAATTTTTTACAATGAATGAGCAAAGCGGGTACAAATATATTTTTTTTCGATAGTTACGATGGATTCACATTTTTATTTGCCTATATATAAATGTATGACTAGCACTAAACTGTATCCTTTTGTAAGTCCATATAAAAGTAAATACGAATATATAACAGTAGGAACGAAAATGTTGGAAATATGCAAATTGATTAATGTTTTCTCAAATGTTCAATAATGATTACGGCCTAATTTCGACATCTTGGTGAACACAATTTTATATAAATACACAGATTAGGGATAGTTGAAACAGGGAGATCTGAAACCCAATTGATCCTGCCGTAAGAACGTATATCAAACTTTAATACAAGAAAGGAAGGGCGAGAATTGTAAAAGATTGATCTGAGTGGATACAATGGGCTGTGACGGCTATGAACAAACAACTGTGATTGAGGCGAGGAATCACTACAACTTCCACCCTCCTGTCCCTACCAGTCGCCATTCCGTTCACTCCTGAAATTCCTTGAAAAATTCATCAATCTCATTTTTTTTTTATGTCAACTCACAAATATTTCAAGTATAAAAGGACTGTAAGTGAAGCTCAAATAAAATAATAATATCAATCATTAAAAAGCTCATTAAGAGACAGAAATTCAATGTTAGGTTATAATTGGAAAGATTCCAAACACAGCCTTATGTGTCCAAAATGCTGGCAAAGAATAAAAACCCGTCAATGTTTCACCAATCCAGGTGTTGTGCACGTCAAGCTTTAATTATAAGCGAGCCAATCAAGCCAGGAAAAAAGCGCCATTTATTGGCTATCGTAGCAGCGCCAACCATCGGTGGTTAGAAGAAGATATCCACTAATGTCCTATCCGGAGGATCTAGGACCTGAGGGGTAAAAGTACAACACGACCTGAGACAGACTGGCTACAATGTGATCTCCATGATAGTGGAGAAAATGTCTAACTAGACCAACACCAAGAAGCGGCTGAGAAAAAGACAGCGGATATGCCAGCACACAATATTGTACCTAGGTGTATCAAGATAAAAATCATCAGCAGTCACTTGATGGGAAATTCAAAGATGCATACATCTGCTCGAACAGTATCTACCTCATCATGAATTCAACCGCGTCATAATCAAATCTATCAATTACCATTTCTAAAATCCGATACTATCACCTTAACTATAAATATTAATAATTTGATACCCCAATCATCAGCAGCTATAACATGTATATTTTTTTATAATCTTTTATTTCAATTTTACTGTTTATGATTTGTCTACAATATATTTTTCTTTAAGATAACTTTATTTTGATTTATTTAATAGACCAATAATGAATATCGCCTTCTTATCAATATCAGTACCCTGCTTTGGTATAAGGGAAGTCCTTATGAACTTTACACCAGGCATTATCAGGACAGAAGAGAAAAGCGAATCGAAGATCACATCACTCCACAACACTCAATCGTAAACTAAAAGGAAGGTAAGGTAACATAGTTGAAGAAAGTAATGATCAAACACCTGATCTAGGAAAAAAAAGAATGATAAAAACAATAAAAATATGCAATATCCTACCAAAATCCAGAAATATTTAACACAAACAAATTTCAAAAATTAGGTTATTGTAATGACAATTTATATACGGAACTGGTAATAAAAAAATAAAATCTGGGACAAATTCCTTGAGAGTAGTTACAGAAAATTACAATATATTTTTTGCCAAAATACTAAATGATAATGAAAAATGCTATACATTGTTTAAGCCATGCCGTAATCAATTATCCAGTGTCTGACTGTTTGTTTTTAAGAGGAAGTTTTCAAATATCTATATGAGATAAGTATATCGGATTTACAGAGGAAGGGAATTCAAGAAAGTGGTGGAGCAGGGGACAAAGGAGTGTTATAATGAGGCATATCTGTGAAAAGGAGTATAGAGGTCATATGATCATATATGTATGTATACATCTGAGGAAGGTTATCATTCAAAACAGTAAATTTCGATTTATTTTATTATTCTGTTCTGATGATGCCTGAATTGGCTAAACGTTAACGTGTTTTTTTATTCTCTGCCATTTTGGAGACTTAATGCTGTATGGTTGGAATTTTTCCAATTATAACCTAACTTTAAATATAATCTTCTGAAATTGGAACAATCTGCATTAATTTAAAAAATAAATAGAGGAATGTCTGTTCCGATTTGATATCTGTTCATTAATTTAAAAATCAAAATATACATATATTCAATATGTTAAAGTTAAAACGTATTTTAAACATTAAAATAATTCAACCTGTTTCATAGTTTTGGAAGATTGAACTATAGGGTCAATGGGCCGTGAACTGGATCTGACATTGTGAAGTGTCTAGTAACGAGATCAATATTAAGTGAAACTACGATTTGGCTAGCGACCTCATGGTTCAAAGGAATGTGCTAAAACTATAAATATGAAATAATTTATAAAAAATTGAAATCCAT